TTTTTCTTGGAACAAAATACGAGTAAAGGGAATTAATACCTTTGAATTTTTGGACGATTTTTGTTCCGTCTAAAATCCTAACACGGGAATCTGCAGATGTCACAAGTAGTTCGGATGGGTTCCACGCAGAAAACTGCATGTCGATGAGATTTGTTAGATATATGTTATCTTGAYTACCGGTAGATGTCAACCTCCCAAAAACTAGTAGGGTAGCTGAAAGCCATATATCGATGATACCTGAAAACCGGTTATCTTTTTAGGCTGTGGCTTTTTCTTTGTTTTCAACTCGATTTGTTCCTTAAAATCAAGCTTGTAATCTAATAAGATCGAAAATATATCAAGACACATTAAAAACCATATAATTAAGACAAGAATCGTGTAAGAATAGAAGTTAAGATGAGAAGTTTAAGAAGGGATTTGGACCCTTGATCCCTTTTAATCTCAAACCAATCCATGAATTACGCTTTATATGGGAGTTGATCTGGTGTATCTCATTAGTGTTGAACTAGTGTTTCTCTTCAATTAGGATTGATCCAGGAGTAGAGATCCCTTCTTACCCTTTTTACCATATTTTTCATTCTCGCCGGAACCCAACCCGATAATTAATATATATAGTTCATACCAACAGTATTGTAAAATCGACAGATCCCTTTGTGCGAACCAACAACCGAAACCTTCATTTGCAGAACACAAATTAATCACTTGGTGATTCATGATTGATCTACAGATAGAAACCGAGGAATAAGAAACAAGTAGTCGAGTTCTTGGATACGTACCTTGCCATCATTAGAATAGCCGATRGCTGTTACCATCTCGTGAAGATCGATCCAGTCGACGACTTGCCGTTCTGGTATGTTCCAGATTCGAACCTTAGCGTCTAGTGAACCACTTATGAAGTAGTCGTCGTCAGCCGGATTAAACTGTATACAAGTCACTGCCATACACATAACATACATAAATGGTCAAGAAATATCATCTTTCACGATCGACCAAAATTATCCCGAACGTCCATGGTACAACAAAATAGGCTTTTTAGGATGCTAACCATCTTTGGACAACAAAATAGAATAAGTTTATAAGACAAACAGCTTTGTCATTTGTCATGCACGATGAAGTTACATCAAGATGAATAACACTTAGATATTCATCATGAATATACATGTCACATTCATCGAGAACATGGACCTGTCATGTATGTGTAATTCATGATGAATAACACTTAGATATTCATCATGAATATGTTACATATACATCATGAAAAAATCATCTTGAAGGGGGGCATATGGTGTGGTTTTGAAGGTTCCAAGTTCATAATCAATTTTGGGTTCATCAACGTAACATATCCATCTCTCTCTATATATTTATATAAACAGACATGCATACCAAAATCGGTGTGAGAAAATAGCTTCAAACAGTTCTTGGTTTCGATATCCCATAGCCTTACTGTTTTGTCCATTGAAGAAGAAAGCAGCAGCTGCCATAAAACGAAACTCCATTAATAACATGTTAATTAATGGCCGGAAAGTTTATCAAGAAAAGAACAAGTGGATGTAAACTGACCTGCGATCTTGACCAAGAGAGGTCCAAGATATCCTCCATGTGACCTTCCAAAGTGCAGAAGGGTGTTTCCGATAGCCCAAATACAGTTTCCGGCACATGGACGTAGTCAGGAATCCCTTTCTTTTTCTTCCCTTTTTTCTTCTTCTCCGGCGTAGCTTCCGGCAATGGTGGCCTACCGTCAGAACCAGCCACCAGCGCCATTGGGTGGACGGGAGTTCCAGCAGCTGAACTCGAATCATCTCCACCCTGATTCGATACATCGAATTCTTGAACTTCCCAGATATGAATCACTTTATCCTCACCGGCGGTCGCCAGATAATGACCATCGTATGTAAATTTTATCGCCCAAATTGATCCATCGTGACCCTTAATCTCTTGACTTAGATGCAAAGCTGTGAATTCCTTGTATGATTTCCCATGAACTCTAGCTTTTACCCATTGCGAAGATGGCTTCTGTTCACTGATCGATGGCGGATTGTTAGAGTTAATCGAAGGACTAGTAGTAACAGTAGCATCCTTTTCTTTTTGATCCGTCTTCGATCCTCCCATGGAACCTTTTATGTTCTTCAGGAATGAAGCCCCTTTTTTCTTGCTCTTTTTAAAGCTTTTTTTGAAGGAGGAGTTACCAGCCGGTGTCAATTTCCGGTGACCGGAACCATGTTTACCATCGTTAACCGCCCTCTTCATCCCCTCCTTCACCTTCGGTGAATGCCCTGCATTCTTCTCGAATTCCTCCATTGTAACATGCTCTCCGGTTTGAACATCCCTCAATTTATTCCACTTCCCTTGATTGTTACATTCTTTAACCTCGAACTTATTTCCGTTATCCATATTATGGATCATGAAAAGGGATTCCGTTTGGCCGTCCGATGCCGTGCCATAGTTGTCGTCGCTGGTATGGCCTACATCTTCTGAAGGCATTCTTTGTCGGCCGGTCGATAAACCGGCGAACGGCATCGAGAATCCAGATGATGTTCGAGAAAGACGTTGTTTCTCTATCGAACCGATCATTTCTTCTTCCCTATGTTTTATAGATGTACTTATAGCCACATCTGATCTCGAACGATCCAGTAATGGACGTGAAGGCAGGTTTTGCTGCTGCAGTTGCTCCGCCGGCAACAGCCGCTGCTGCTGCTCGTCGTATTTCTGTTCCACCGAATGAGGTGACGGCTGTTTTTCCACCGGCTTCATCGGAGGCACAACGTCGATTCTTCTCGATGGCATTCTTCTCGACGGAGCGTTACCTAAYCCTAAAAAATCTCTGTTGCTGGCGCCGATACCCATATCCTGGAGAAGTCGACGTCGCCTATCGTTGATAGATTGATCAGGCGCTGCCATCCACATGTCGTATTCATTGGTCTGGAATTCCGGTGCAAATGCCGAATTCGAATAGTTGCGGGATACTGCGGCGGGAGCGGAGGATGAGGAGAAAGACATCCGACAATCATCGAATACTTCATCATCATCCTCATCAGATGAGTAAGCCAAATCCTGTGGGAGAACCGATGAGAGTCGCTGGGCATCGAAGAATATGTCATCGTCGTCGTCGAGGTCTCCTAATTCGTCCCAGTTCATCGTCATGGTTCTCCTTACCTCCATTTTTACACATCTGTAAAGCAACAAGAAGGTTGCGGCAGATTGGAAATGGAAATGGAATTGGATTGAGATTGAGATTGAGATTGGGTGGGAGTTTTGGGGGCAAAAATGGCGAATGGGAGAGAGATTGGGAGAGAGATGGAGAGAAGAGGAAGAGAGAAAAAGAAGGGGGGTGATGACTACATGTCACGTCTGTGTAAAAGACATGCAAACCTTAACTTCCAAAATCAAACCATATTTTATCATTACAAATCAAAATATGTGTTTTAATTTAWTTAAATATATTATTTTATTTTGTTTGTATTATTTTCTTATAAAATAGATTTTTAGAAARAAAAACAATTAAAAAAATCAAATAATTAAAATGCATCTTATTTCCAACATTTTTTTTWTTAGGTATGAGAATGGGCGGGGATGAGATGCGGACTCTAACCTCTGTTTTAGGTGGTGTTTGAGATTGTTTATAAAAACAATTTATTGACTTATTCATGTGTGGTACCGGTAATAAATATTTTTGAATGTTTGGATAAACAACTTATATCGGTGTCAAACCGGTAATAAGAAGTTTGTGAAGAAGTTAAAACTCTTCTGATTTATAATAAGAAGTTTGTGAAGAAGTTAAACTCTTCTGACTTATAATAAGTTGATAAGTGTTTTTGTAGAAAAACATAAGTTATTTCAAATAAGCAATCTCAAACACCCTTGGTCCTCGTCCCCATCTCAATCTCTACTGGGGATTGGGGAATATGATCACATCCACAACGGGGAATGGAGATTTCCAACAGAAAATCGGAGATGATGATCTATGTTTAAATCACATATATTTTCAAAATCTTCTTTTATAGAGTWTCAAATACTCATATGTGAATAYGTCATTGTTTGATMAAACAYTTTCGGCTTTCAACGTTTTTTATTTAAAAGAAAGTAAGACAACTCGGAGAAAATGTATATAAGAAGAAATATCAAAATACTATTTCTAAATCTAAAAGATATTAAATCTATTTTTTTATAAATATTATATTTAATAATAACTACATTTAATAGTCGGGGACGGGACGGGGCAGGGCAGGAACCACCTTATCTGTCCCTGTCCCCGTCCCCATCCCCGGTTTTTTAACTTTCGTGGATCTCCATCCCTGATCCCCTGTTTTGCGGGGAATCCTCGTCCCGATCAGGGTGGGTACACCGGGTTCTCTAATGGAGTGGGTCTCATTCCCATGTCTACTTTTTAACGATTCGTGTTAGAGATGATCAAATTGGGCCCTGTTCCAGACCTAGGGGCACCGGTTATGGCCTAATAGTCTAAGAATGTTTACATTGTTTATGAAATTTCATGGCATYGCCAGAATCGGGACCAGTTACGTTTACGCCTGATTTTAAAAAAAAGTTCAGCTTTTATTATTTTTACAAGTTATATTTTTTAAGTTTTTAATATTTAAAAAAAACTCGGGCCAGCCCCAGGACTAATAACCAGGCCTAGATTTTGTTGAGGATTTTTGGTCGGGACCGGAGCCCAAACTGGCCAGCCAGATTTTGAAGGAACCGATTTGCAATCAAGTTAGTTAAGTAGTAGCATTAAGCCAATGTTTCTAAGCTTTGATCACTAATTTGGCTTGGAAACTAGAACCTGAACCCTGAAACACTTCTAGTTTCAAGCATGATGAAATCTAAAGATGTGGAAATCTAAAACCAGCTTGAAAACCCATTTAGGTCGTGGTGCACTGGTTAAATCTCAAATCCCTTACGGCCATGGAGGTTCACCTGCGATRACTCCAGGCCAWGCGTGGTCGCCTGGGGGATTAGTCTATGTATGTAAGTTGGCCTGGAAACCCACGATTACCTGAAAAACAAAAAACAACCTAAAACCGAATCTTTTGCACATCTATGACAAGATCAGACTTGTCGTAGATCCTACTTTCGAGTGGGATATAAAACCTTTAACTTGAAACTTGATTGACACAGTTACAACAGAAAGAATCATGAATCAGGACAAAATGCTTTATATATACATCAAGAGATTAACCATATTACTTGCACTGTTTAGGCCTAAAATTTTCGGTACTTAGAAGACCAGATACAAGTTTCTCGAGTCTCTTTGAACTCATTGATGGTTTAATAGCATCTGCCTTCTTGTAAGCGAGACTACTTTGGATCGATCTTCCCACAGGCCAACCACTAGTCGGAATCCGGCCACCAGATCTTCCCAAAAGCTCTCTATCAATTTTATCAAGGACCAGATCATCTTTTGCAAAAGAATGAGCGAAGGGAGCTCCACTCTCAACCATATCCGGAAAGTGTTCGATTGTGAGATTTACGGGAAACTGTTTGGGGGGGTTGTCCCACTTGATGTAGTGCATGTCGTGGTTCACAGTTGTGTTCTGATAATCTTTATGGTTACAGATAACGGTGTGAAAGTAGCCCTCTGGGGAGGACACAAAGTTTGTGTAATACATAAGAAGAGTACGAGGAAGATTATCCCATCCCCAAACGCAAAACTCGAGAAAGGGTCGGGTAAGCACAACCCAGGTGGATCCTGTTGATACCAAAGTTCAAGAAAACAGGAAAATGATCAACACCCAGGTGTTTTTTAAGTATGTAATATTTAATATACGGCAAATACTCTGACATCCTTGGAGCATGGGCTCTACTAGTAACCCAGATACCATTGGGCCAATGACCCTTCGGAATCACCCAGATGTTGGTTGCTGAGGTAGGCAAAATACAGCATTTCATGGCAAATACTGTTGAAGCACCATCGAGGAATCACAGCATAATAGTGAAAAGAAGGTATATTTGACTTTTATGGTTAAACTTTCTATTTCTAAGATTTGGAAGTAATCTAAAACCACTTTAACATCAACAATTTTCCATTTGTGGTAATTGTTATACAATTGGATCTAGTGTCAAATAGTTTCAAGATTCTGACTCGTTAATGTCTGGAGTCCCACATCAGTTAGACATGGACCACCAAAGCGGTATATATGTAGGACTCCTGTAGAGAGAGATCCAAAGGGGTTTCAAATATCTTCATGATTATTGATTAATATCAAATTTGAAGTCAAAATTTTGTGCATTTTCACTAAAGAAGTCAACTTTTGATGTAATCGTACCACTTACCCCTAACAACAACGATATTGTTTCTAGAAAGAGTCTGCATCCTTGGTTGGATATGCCAAAGGCTGGGATTCAAACTCCTAAAGCAGCCTATAACTACTATGGCTAGTTTTCAGGATGACTAGTTTTCTTCTAGAACAATAGATGGAGGCCTTCAATTATAATTTATCATCCTCAATTCTCACTTTGAAGCTCTCTAGTAACATTTAAATTCTTACACCGTCTATGTATGTTTTATTAATTCTAGTTCCTGAAATATTTCCAAAGTCCTACTTAAAATACCGACTTCATCAACTTACACAACATCAATATCTCAACAAGTTGATCCAAAACCTCTAGCTATAAAGATATATTACCAAAGCTAATTTGAGAAGAGAGGGTAGATGTAGTTTGCAACATTTCAGCTCATCGTATTACAATTTTATTGAATTTGAACCTTTTAAATTGAGGTATTTTGTCGCACAACTCCATCCCAATTTCTTTGGATAGATAGGTATATGGGATCATCTAAACCTTTCACTATAATCTAAGTTTTAGATAATTTGCAAACATTGTTTTACATATACTTATATATTTTGGGCAAGCTTTTATGTTGGCATACACGTCTCCTTATAGAAAAAATCACATTAAACAATAATTTTTATAATAATAAATCGTAAGTATTTATATAAATACACAAAATATGCTGTAATTTGGCTTGCAAATCTCTCCATCAAGTTTTCTTTTTACGTTATTGTCATTTGAGGATTCAGATCTCAATATAAATATGCAATCCCAACATTCCATCATCGTGTATATATATATATATACACGCACATATATATTCAAAGTTTCCCATAAATAGATTGAAACTAATTTCGACTCCATGTGAGAACCCCATAGCTCTCTCAACAAGTACACTAGCATCTTTTCAGAAACTGTAGGACTCATATTGATAGGTATAATAGTCAACATTGAAGGTAAAAGATCATAAAAAGATAAGATGTAGAACAATTACCCATGAACAACTTGAATGAAGAAGGCATGGATCGTTTCTCTTTGGCCCAGAATACACCAGATTTCTTTGAATGATATAAGCCAGGATCAATAATGATTGGCCTTGCTCTTTGGAACCTGCAAAGTTACAAGGTAAGAAATTAGAATGTCATTGAACATCTTATCTAGTAAATGGTAAAGGAGATCTAGCCAATCTATAGTATATCAAAATGAAAGACCCAAGTATCAACTGCAAACCCACTCTTTCCAGCCAATGTTAGTTGTGTGCTCGAGGAAGTTCAAATCCCTTGGCAAGTATGAGAAAATGTGGAGGATATCTGACMAAAAAAAAAAAGAATATCAAAACCATCATATAAGAATGTAATCAACTTGGTCAATTACACACAAGTTAATAATGGCTAACAGATTGGAATAATGTTACAAAATTTATTTATCATATGTGTATCTGGGTAGAAAGAATACAACCAGAGTGCAAAATCCAGTTACATATCCACCCCTTATGAGAAAGGTCTAATTTCTAACAGATAACTTGATATATTCTGTTTGAGTCAAGTGGGCTTGATATGCAAAAACAGATGGAATAAGCTTCTAAAAGTTTGCATACAGAATTGAACTTTATGCAATATTTTCTGGTTCATCAAATTCAACCATTGGTTTATGGGTTGACAGTCTACCATTTGTTCTCTGTTGGATTTGGGTTTAATGTAACTATRTTTTCTATGCTCGAGTATTGTTGACCCAAATGGTCAAATCCCATCTTGTACTCTAGTTACACAAGACTTGCGCATGGGTAAAGGCATAACTTTCAAACATTGACATACTTGCATGGTGTCAAAGCCAGTTACAAAAGTCTGGCCCTATCAGAAAGGTGCTTCCTACAGATTGTATACCATCACTTTGGCAGAAGACAACTAGACAACAAAGAACTGCTTCCAGCACCATTATTGCCATCAAACAAACTCACCAAAGATCATTACAACATCCGCCTTCCTCTCGTTAAGCAGCATCACCCATGTGATGATCAAAATTAGTGTTTGGTTGTCAACTGAACATTGCTAGCTTTCCCAGCCACCTTGCTTGCTTCAAGGATGCTTCTAGCTCTGTGGGAACCAGAACCTGAACCCCAATTGACAACCCTCGCCTGAAACCGCCTGTCCAAAAACACCACCTGCTCAAATAGTTCTTAACAAACTAAGGTTCACCATGGCCACCTGAACTACAGACACTTTCTCAACCGCACCTTGATCCTGCCTTGTTCCTCTTCTGCTCAATCAAGTCCTGTTCTTGGATCTCGGATCTATTCAATCATGACATGTTACTGGTTTGCACATCTGAGTTCATGTAGAAACTCTGCTTTTTTTATCTGTCTCTCTTTGCTACCTTTGACCATATTTTTGAGTAGTTATGACGCCCAAACATGTATGTTACTGGATCATAAAAAGAATATTTCTTTGCTCCTGACCTGTAACTTTGTAACTATGATGTATTCCTTCATTTTAGTTGGTACAATGCCTCTCCCTATTTCATATCTATTTATATCCTTCTTTCATGTGTCTTCAAACATATTTGTTGCGTCTATTGTGTTCATGACCTGCCTACGGGAACCAAACTAGATTCTGAGTCCCAGAAGCATCTGGTTGTTGGTTCTTCCTGTTCTCACAACATTACYATACTCAACCTTTCAGAAATATTATATTTATGTCCATGTCTGCTTTAGCATATTTGATTCCATTTCTCCACTCTCAATCCTTTTAAGCTTTCACGCGAGTTTCTTTGAAGAAGTCGTAGTTATGGCCCACGTCTCTTCTTCCACTTACTTGGCTCTGCACTTGGCAGAGTAGATGTCAATCTTGCTCTACAAAGTTTCACTTTAGAACACGATATTGGTGACTCTTGCTCTATGACACGTCCCAGCCAAATAAACCACCAAACAGAGCATGAAAAACACATAATACTTTGCTAAAATATCTACTTCACAATCATGTAGTGCCCCATATAGGAATACAACTGTAACTGATAAAAGAAACATATACTTCGACATCCTATATATAACTACGCTGCCTACATTGAGGTTTGTAGGCCCTTTCCTTCTTGAGGTCTGTCTTCACATAATGTACAAGAGCCAGGAGACATGAGCATCCATGATCAGATAAGACTATGTAAGAGAAGATTGATGTAGTACGAAGAAATGACACTTGGGTTCTACAACATTTTTGCACTCGAAAGAACTATGTGGGATGCAAGTGGCTCTTTACTACTGTTGCATCATAATGCTTATCTTCATTACCTGCAGTCCTGTATCATCAACCAGTGCTCATAAACGTATAAAATTAGGCCAAGTCTGAAAGCTGCAAGAAGAGAGGGCCAGATAGAAGGTTTTGAAGATAATTTTCTCCCATGGCCAAATTCAGTTTGAATCTAAATTGCCGCCGGACCTTATTTGGGCAAAAAGTTGATTGCCAGCAACCCCAACTGTCCCCACACTGAACCCACCTCCAAGGACATCAATGTGAGGGGCCATTTTTTGGCTCACTCGGTGGCTGAGGCTGGGCCGGGGCTGAGATACCCATGACCTGTCATGTACTTGGACAAAGTCACTTCACCCCTTTGCCAACCAAGCTACATGCCAGAGGGCCGTCGGACATTATAGAATTCATTACTTGCCTCTCCATCAACACTTTGTTACTGATGCCATTCTTGAGAAAAAAATACATGGACTAACCAACTGTTTTTGTAGCAAGTATATAGCATTAACATTCCTTATATGGTCTCAAGCTATCTAGCAGATACGTTTTAGAATGTTTTCACATGTCCATAACAGTACAGGTTCTTCAGAAGTCGCAAAGGTTCTTCATGATACTAATTGAAGACGATTAAGAGAAGGTAAGGTGTAAAAAGAATTTGGGGGACACTACTTCAAGACGTATGGATGCTTATCCAAATATCATCTACTTGAATCCAGACTGTAAATCACTTCATGAAGATTTATAGTTTCCATACAGCAATATGATATGTAACAATTCAAGTTTCCATGGTATAGAAACCAAGTTATATCCGAAAATATTAAAAACTAAAATTAGAAAAAACTAACCATCTTGAGGCATAAGAGGATAATCTGAAGCACTAAGATTGATAAACCAGTGCCAGTCCTTTCCTTGCTTCAACAAAAGAGCAACAGCGTGCAACATACAGGCAATCATGGTAGGTCCTTTAGAAGTGACCAAATTAGCCTTTCCAACCACCATCACATTCTTCAAACCCTTGACATTCTTCGCGAGATCAAGCCTCTCTGCATCTGAAGCTTCCAGATCCAGATGCAACAAGTAATAATTTCTCGGATGGTACACCGCCCGGATCAACCGGTCCAAACGAGCTCCGTCGCCTCTAGAACCCGTAATGAAATAGGCAAAACGAGGAACCTCAGGCAAGTTATTGGATGTATGGGAGATGGAACGGGAAGCAGCGGCAGATATTGAGAGGGTTTTGGAAATGGAATGTGGCGATGATGATCTTAGAGCGTGAAAGAAGACGAGAGAGAGTGAGATGAATAGAAGGAAGAAARGGAGGAGATAGTTGTTGAATCTTTGATTGGAAGTGAATCGAAATCGTAGGTGGGATCGTTTCATAGTCATGTTTCAGTATCAGGGGAATCCAGTGGGGAAGACGATTCAGACAGACACTTGAGTCATTATTTCGTAGAGGAATATCCTTACTAAAAYTGAAAAGAAGGCAAATCGCATTGGCTGGCTGGTTTTCTATCTTTTATACAACATATTTTTAAATTTTTTATTTTTAATTCTATGATGGTTGTATTGTAAGTTGTTGAATGGYTTGGTGTTGAATGATTAAAAGATTCTTGTAATATAGTGTAAAATAAAATATAATTATTTATAATAAAATTAGGGTGTTGAATTGTCACAYCCCGCTAAAGCGTAAACATGTGATGCTAACAGACAAGCGGGTCATAGCAACAGTTTATAAATAACACCATTACAAGTTTCAAAACAAAACGATTTATCGACATAACGAGAGTTAGAATAATACACGACATTTAAAATTACATCAAAAACTTGACTTAATCGATCTTGGCCCAGGTATGCTCCCTTAAAAACCAATCACTTACTCTAAACCTGAAAAGCATGGAATAAAAACAAGGTCAACTACAAAGAGTTGGTGAGCTCACGGGTTTTCACATGCACAAAAACATTTCAATGCATAAACCAAGTAATAGCAAACTTATGCGAATTCTTTGCACTTAATAAATGTAAATCCCTCGCGATGTAACACTTGAGACGCTACTGAGCCTCGCTACTGAGCCTTACCTGACCAATATGCCCCATTAATTTTCGAACAACTAGAAGTAGCCCGTTCATTACTCTGGTCCCACGGTTCGATAAARCACTAATTCAGCGGTGGTCCAAATTCCACAAGATTAGGCTAGAAAACATAGGTAATTGTGCACCCTTTTCTGGGTGGGACTGTCAACACAATAGCGGCTATCCACAATATCACGGCCCGGGAATGTACCCGAGTTAACAAGTAGCGTGTACGGACGGAGACTTTTATTTGGAAACATATACTCTCAATCGCATCAATTTAGCATTTATCCTAAGCGCAGAAACAGTTTTCAAAACCAAACGTAATGAACCCGACTAAGCAGTTCCTTAGCCCAAGAGGTTCCAAGTAAAACTTGACTAAGCAGTTCCTTAGCCCAAGATATTTCAATTAAAGCATCGACTAAACAGTTCTTTAGTCACAAGTATCATAAAACGTATCATGCAAAGTTTGCTCAATATCATGTTTTTCCCCCATAAAACATATAAAAAGCATTAAAAGTGGGGCCGTGAGAACTCACAAGTTTGGCGAATATCTGAATGATTCCTTATGGACTTGCTATGCTTACTCGAACCTCCTGACAAACCAACCAGCGCTATATTAACTTAATGGTTTCCTTGACTTAGGTAGGGCAAAGTTGGTTCCAATGCAAAGCCATCAAGTATTTTCATAAATTAAAGCCGCTTTAATTATTTATTAACTAATAATCTTCCAAAATCCAAGTAATGACATCATTAAATGTCATTCTAAAACAAATGATGGCAACCGCCAATTACCAAAACCAAGAGATTTTGAGTGGGTTTAACACTCTTTTCAAGAATAATCCACAATTCTTGAGTCACACGCCTTCACCACCGATTGCATGTAGGCTCAATATTTCCAAGAATTAAAAGATTTTAACACAAAAACCATCATCTTTGAATAATTTCCAGAAAACAAAATAATCTCGATTCCAACAAGTTTTCAAAGGAATAAATCCGAATAAAGTTGCATGCAAGACCTATCATCCGAAAATGTGATCARACCTCACATGCAAGGAATTTTTCTTTCTTTCTTRGARATTTTAAGAACTTGGGTCACAGATTATCATCCCCAACGAAGACATATGCAGGTCTTTGATGAATWATCTCTCCTCTTTAAATCCCATAAATTTTACTTAAAGAATGGAGAAGGGAGAAGGATAAAAACTTTYGRACTATTAAGAAAATAGAATAGCTCTAAAGCATACATTTTCTGAACAKAAACTTTCGAACAAGCTCTTAAGGACAGCAAAACCTTGAGTTTTGCAATAAAGTTGGAACCGGCTGGAAGGKGATGGCGTTAGAGAGAAAACATAAAGCTGGAATTTGGAGAATGAAGATTTT